GAGGAAAAACGTCCCTACAAAAGTTACTAGAGTTGAGGTCACGCGGGTTGTGTCCTGAACTAAAGTGGTTCTGAGCTGTGATCGCTGTCTTCAAGGTCATTTCTGTATATCTCTCGCCATTGGACCCATCGTATACGCATCTTCAGGGCATTCAAAAAATAAAGGGCGTAATATTTCCAATAAGCACGCAATTTATTTTTCTAATCTAAGAATTTTGTTTTTAATTCAAAGTTAAAGTTCTATCGTTGCTATTGGTACACCCTATAGTTTTAAAAACGATCAGACAGATGGGCGGACAAAGCGTCTAACACATTTACGAAAATGCGGCAAATTAAACCACATTAATTATATCATTTATTTGAAAATAAATACCACTTAAAATTTAAATGCTTAAGTGCTAATGTTTCTAATACCACTATTACCCTTCTTCTTTCCCTTGAATTTTGGACACACTTGCAAATCTGGCGGAATGCAGTTTTTAACAATTAATGTGGCCATCACATTATGATTCGTTAACTGCTTCGTAATTGTAATTGTGCCAGGTTCGTAGTCTCTAATTCGCGCATAGTAGGGCAGAACGTCTTTGAGATGCTCCAATCTTTGCTCTATTAAATAACTATTTTCGTCCAAACCGGGGGTCTCTCGGACCTCATGAAAATCGTTGGTAAATTCACTACTCACCAATTCGCTTTTAATCATTTTGTTATCTCGACGTTTATTTTTATAACGATCCCTTTCAATCACGTAGTATTGGTTTTTTATAAACGACTCGGGATAACTTTCCCTTTTGCGATACGAAGTATTATTTCCATATCCGCAGGGTCGTTTTTTCCCCTTCACTTTTATGCAGACGGGATTTTTTGTAACATACTTAGTAACCACATTAATCACTTTAGTAATCACACGAGAGGGGTTTATCATTGGAATGTTTACGGATGGTATGGGCACGCTGTTTTTATAGGGTAGCGATAGGGAAGGTAGTTGTTCCAGGTAATCTTGGGGATTATATAATTTTCGGTAATTTTCGTATATACTTGGATTTGCTTTTAAACTAATGGTCAAAATAAGCACCAGATACGCAAAAGTGAAATTACACATGACGATACCAGTATCTTTGCTACACTGAACAGTAATACACGGTAATGGGTTCTTTTATAAACTTTTTGTGTGACTTGAGATGAAAGCAAAGGAAAGCGAATTATGACATGTTAAATTTATTATTTATGTTATTTTCTTGCTCGTATAAGTGTTTAATAATTACTTTGTATGCACGCATTATTACAGCAAATCTTTGTACTTGTCGTTGAAGTTGAAGGAAAGTAAACCAGTGAAATGGATGGTTAACGCATAAAAAAAAGGTGCTATTTTGTCGTTCTTTTATAATTACTGTTAGAATTGCGCTTTATGTTAAGATGATTGTCAATATTCTACTTAATTGCAATTTGTTATGATGCAATTTTAGAATATATCAAGCTGATCGATGGAACGATGGTTTCATTGATGCACAAGTGGTCATTGTCATTACAAATGTCAGAACCTTGGTCAGAACATACATATCAAACAGGACTCAGAGCAACATTGAGTGCTTGAAATGTATTTCCAACCCAGTGATGAGAAAATTTGTTCTATAAAAACACATTTGTCGATTTAATTAACCTGTAAGTCCGTATGTCCATATATCACGTTTTAGACAGAAGTAATGATTGTCTAATAGGTAAACTTTGTAGCATAAGCAACTAATAGGCCTATCACATCGAGATCCGTCGTTTTTTTCCAGCCACAACGGCATGGAATTTTTTTTTCAAATAACAACATTTTTATTTATTTATTATTCAAAAGATTTTGCTTTTCTGTGTACAATCTACGTTTTTTATATCTGAGTTTTTAGCGCCGTGACGCCACACAACTTTTTTTTCAAACAGCAGTCCAAAATTTCAGTCATTTGAAAGAAAATTTGAAAAAATATTAAATATTTTGTGATTGTTTGAGACGTCTTGATAAACGTTACGCATCGCATGATTTGCACGAAGAATAGTACAGTTCATTTATGTTTAGGCAATGACGCCGGCATATCATTAATATAAATAAGAAATAATAGCGGTCCCAAAATGAAACCCTGTAAGACACCATACTCAATTCGTAACTTGTCAGTGCAAATGCTGCTAAAGTCTTCGCACTGGTATGCCTATTGGACAGAAATGATTCTAAGAATATGATGCTAAGAATGAAGCGCTTCATTGACTTAGGTCAAATGTGGATAAGTTCATAAATCCATGTTACTATTACGAATCCACTTAAACATTTTGATTTACCAAGGAACGCAGAACTTTATGGGAGGCACCCATCAGAGTTCTAATTCAATTAAACAACCAATCTTTATTGGACGCCTGCTTGGCAAAACTCATGTCATCCACTTCTCACCTCCTCACCTCTCCTTCAGCACCTACTGCTGTCATTTCCGCCTCCGTACAGTCCCATAACATGTGTTCTATGACCTCTTCTTTCTCTCCGCATATTTTTACATTCTCTTTCTTCTTCTTGTCTCTTTCCCTCCCTCTTCATTTCCGCTTCTCAATTTCGTTATTGTTTTAATATTTTTTCTTCCTTCCCACAAATACTTTAATACCCACTCCCTTATTCGGTCTTTACCCTTTGTTGTTATATTTGTGCACTCAGGTCTTTTCTCCTACTCCTCTCTTCATTTCGACCTCAGTCCGTCCGTAGACATTTTTTTGTAACATGTTCCTTCTTATTCTACTCACATTCCTTTTGAGTTCATCCTCGTTGTCAAGCACCAATTTGCTTTCTTTATCGCCTCTTTCTACCCTGCGCCCCAACGCTATACTTATCTTTTCCATTTTTGTTTCATCCACTAATATTCAATGTGGTCCGCTGGGTCACGCAGAGGGCTGGTGATGCGATCTGAAAACGACTGTAAGCCGAGAGTACTACCCATACGATAAATGAACAATATCCATTGATAAATTTTCTTTGCACTTCTTCCAGTAAGTGAGCACCCCTCACAATTGCGCCGAACTTTTAAAATCATTCTTGAACCCCTCTTCTCTCTAATTACCCACACCGGTCTCACCGCCTCCACCCCCTTTTACCCTAATTCTTTTATCTTAGTATTTGTCCCATAGTTTTTTTTTGCATATAGTACTCTAAATACTTAAATTCCACCTATTACCTTTTCTATTCTTTCCTCTTTCCATTTCCATTCCATGTCCTTCTTTTTCCACCCTTCCCAAATCATCATCTCCGACTTTTCTACATTTAGTTCAATTCCTTTCCTTTCCCAATACCTTTCCATTCTTCCCATCACGTCCTTCATCTGTTCTACCTCTGTTGCTTGCATCGTCCACGTATGCCAGAGACCATAGCTTTTTTCTTCCCACTACTACCCCTCCACCTTGATTCTGTCTTAATACATTTTTCATGTCTTTTAAGTGGAGATTAAATAAGGTTGGGCCACGTGGGCATCTCTGTCTTAGTCCTTTACATGTTCAAAACATTTCAGATTCCTTCGCTTCTATTCTTATATTCAACTTTGTCTCTCCTTGATTCTGTCCTTTAACTTCTTGTGAATTTTCCCATGTTCCATACTTTTTCCTTTTCCACTCTGTCAAACGCTGCCTTTAAGTCCATGCAAAACGCGAACACCTTTCCGACCATTTTTTTCAATTCCTTTTCCACCAATCTGTGTAGTATAATACAGTCGATCGTTCCCCTCTTTCAGTGTCCTCCAATATAATTTTTTCTTCCATTTCGCTTTATAGCCTTTCGTTCACTATTCACTGCATAGATTCTATACGCCGTAGTCATTGTAGTAATTCTCCTACGGTTTCCTACATAATCTGTGTTTTCTCTTTTGAAGATTTTCACAATTACTCCTTCCTTCCATTCGTCAGGTATACCCCTTCCATTCATTCCTTTTTTATTAGATTGATCATTCTTTCTTTGAGTCTATCTGTGGCGAAAATCCAAGCCTCATTACCTATATCGCCTCTCCCTCCCGGTTTTCCTTCTTCCTACTTCTTCCATAGCCTCCTCTCTCATCTGCTTTCCTTATAGTCTCGTGACAAAATGTTGTTTCTTCCCACTTGTTCTATTTTTGTTTTTTCCTGACTTGTTCAATTTTTATTTCGTTTTTCTCTTTTCTTTTGTTCTTTGCGTCTGTACACCCACTCCTCCCTCTCTCTTTTCTCTATAATTTCTTTTGCTGTAAATTTCTCCCTCCCACCCCTTTCTTCCTCTGATGTGTTCTCACTAATCTCACTAATTTTCTTTGGTACCCTATCTGTATTCCTCATCTTCTACGATTAGTTTCCTATATCGCCATTTTACATTCTTGCCTTTCTCCGTTCCTTTTCCTCAACCTCTCTAATTGTTCCATTGTCGGTAGTAGCATTTTTTTAAATTACGAATTCAACTATATACGACACACAAGTTGGAAACTATTGGTTTCAAAAGGATGGGGCACCCGCGCAGACCGCCCTAGAGCAAGAATACCTATCAGAGAAACTTTCCACTTTCCAGGAAATTTGACCGATAGGAATTCATGTACGATTAGGGCGGTGTGCGCGGGTGCACCATTATGTTGAAACCAACAGTTTCCAATTTTTCCAATTTCTGTAGCTCTTCAATTACGTCTCTTCTCTGTAATTTGACCACCATCGCATCTTCTATGATTTCCGAGATCCCCATGATAGACATCCTTATATTGGACACATCAGTGTATCTGTACCAATAACATTAATCGTAATTTAAGCTGCCATAAGTTTCATAGGGCAGTAGGTAAAGGTTTACAAATTTGAGATTCTGTCGAGCTAATTATGACAAAGACAAATACGTTTTAAGGTGAATGCACTTTATTCACTAATTTCGAGAAATACCACGTTAGCTGATAGCTGAACATCGCATTTAGATAAACGGCAAAACACTTTTAAGATAAATCGGTGGCATTAACGAGGAGTACAGAACGTATAAAGGTTACAACTAAAGGAATTTCGACTCATTTGGGTACACTTAAAGATGCAATACTTTACTTTGCAATTTGCAGCTGCAGTGCTAGTTTCGGGGGTGTTCAGCAAAAGTGCATACAGGCCCCGCGAGCCTCGTATGTTTTGGCGTTCTTATACGGAAACTATGGTGGTAACGGACGTTGTAACATCGATACTGCCTTCATCTTGCGTACATGTCGAACCAACATTGCCAGCATGTCGCGGTTTGCGTAATTTGGAAACATTTCCGGAGTTTGTAGGACGAGAAATCCATTCCAACCAAGTGTAAGTTTTTGTTGATTAAGTAATACCGCTGCTGACTGTAATTACTTAGTAAAGGTAGACAATTAGTGCAACCACCCCTAGTTGTTGATAAGGACCATCACCAGCTGATGTTAGCCCCGTTGAACGAAACGAGAGTAGTTGGATGGGCGGAATATTTAGGTCTTGTAGGTGCCACATTTACAGTGACGGAGGTTCATCTAAAAACTACTACAGTAATTGATCCACGTACGGTTGTGACATTTTCAGTGAAAGGATGCAGGCCGTCACGATTACCAATGGAGTTGGATCGATGTCCTGTCAATCAATACAATGTTGACGAAATTGTACCCTCCTCTGTGTCACCACCAAGTATAACACCGACAGCCCTACCTGGCAGCTTGATGGCAATGAATGACGAGAGAAATTCAAAAAATCTTGAACCGTCTTCGTCTGGCATCCCCATGGAAAATCTTTCCCAAACCTTAACTGAAGATTTAAGTGACGTAACACTGAGGAGAAGGAACAGCTAATTGATTCTTTAGTTATATACGCCTACGTTTTATCAGTGTAAAGAAATTGACTAATTAGGATAGAATAAAACATTGAGTTTGGTTAGCTATAATTACTCGATACCACTTGTCATTTAACATTTTTAAGGCAATTACCCTGGAGGGCAGAGGGTAAAGTAGGTTTTGGTTAAAAAGTTGTCCCTCTTGACTTTTAGAGCAATTGGTTTTCCGGCTGTATACCCAATACTCTACCAGAACCAATTAAACAAGAAAGTATTTCCGCACCTAAAACTGTAAAGTCTCTATTACTGGGTATGCAATTTATGGCGGGATATATCGACCTTTTGGTCCAAGTTAATTTTTGCGTATTATTCTGATGCATTTTTCAACATTTTCGTAAAAAACAATATTATGCTTATCGTTGTGGCTATTGCCACAAAGGAATGCCAGTGACGGGTCACGCAAAAGGACTGATTATTCACAAACCCGATTTTGATTGGTTACATTATTTTTTTAAATTAGAATTATTTACGTTGTGTTTATTGGACCGAAACAGTAATTTCCACAGAATCTTAAAACAAACCACAAACACAATTCTAATAAATCGGACGCGTTTCGAAAAAAAATGTGTTATCATATACAATCCCTTTCCATGAGGATCGTCTACTTTTGGGAACCATGGAACATGTTACCAGGTACCTAAATTCTGAGAAAGGGTGAAGAGTACAGGATCTTGAGTGCAATAAAGTTCTTTTGTTAGGAGCAAGATGGAAACTTACATGGCCAGCTTCTAGGCAAATTCAACTAACGCCAAGATATGTAGAAATGAGCTAATCGCAAGTCATTTATTGCACATAAATTCTAAATAGAATATTGGCATAATCTTGCCCCCAAGATAATGTACCTCACCCCTCGTTCAGGGTTTCGGGCCTACAGTTGAAAGTCGAACACAATCACGGAATTAGCTGTCGTAACTGATTTGATTACGGTTTTTGCCACCCCTGTGACTGCTTCTTTCACGGAGAAAATGTTAGTTGCAAGCAACAAGTCAGTACACACACGCACACACACAAACTCGGTAATTTCCACATATTAAAAGAATGATCAAAATTTATATGAATGTTACTTAGATAAGACCAAGTAATCTACATCAATCAATTAAAATTTATACCAAACATGACATGCACATTATAGAATTGCATTAGGAAAAACACAAAAGCATAATAAAAACGAACAAAAGAACACCACACAAAACAAACTAAGGGCTGGTTAATTGATTTTTCCATCAACATGACATACCCTGCGTAACAGAACGCCACTGTTTTTTGCCCTCATCAAACGTTTCACCTTGCACCAGCACTACGCGGTCTTTAGATCTTTGACCTTCTCGTATCGCAATACTGCTATGGATAAAGTATTGATTGTTTAAATACTTTTAAACACTATTATCATTTTTACGATTAACTCAGACCAGTAGTTTAGCAACAATGAATAACGACAATAACCTATTACTTTCTCTTATTAATGGAATACGCATTATTAAATTTAATCGACCTTCCAAAAGAAATGCCCTGAATTCGGAGATGTATGTACAAATAACAAGAATTCTCACTGAAGATTCAAAGAATGACAATGTAGTTGGTACTGTATTCACTGGAATTGGAGACTACTACACTAGTGGCAAGGAATTTAGAGTGGAAATGACGACTTCAGTTGAAAGAAAGTGTGATCAAGTGAAAGCCTGTATTAGTGCCCTTATCGACTATCCAAAACTGTTAATTGCCATTGTTAACGGTCCCGCAATTGGAGTTGGCGTCACAACGCTTGCCTTATTTGATATTGTCTATGCCAGTGATAGGGCAACCTTTCAAACACCATTTGTCAAAGTGGGGCTTTGTGCTGAAGGGTGTTCCAGTTATCTGTTTCCTCGTATAATGGGTAAAACCAGGGCATGCGAAATGTTACTTTTAGGAAAACGATTTTCTGCAAAGCAAGCTTGTGATGCGGGATTGGTGTCGGAAGTCATTCCACATGGAGAGTTGGAGAATTTTTTGAAACAAATATTGCAGTACGGTTCTCTTCCACTGAAATCTTTGTTGAAATCCAAAAAATTAATAAACGACAATGTGAGACAGAAGTTACATGAAGTGAACAAGCGAGAAATGGCTATGGTGGGTGAATGTATAGGCAGCGAAGAGTTTCTTAATTTTGCTATTGCATTTTTATCTAAAAAAAATAAATTGTAAATATTAGGGTTACAACGACTTACTTAATTGATTTAATAAAAACAAAAATCAATGACAATTTTAATTCCATAACATCAACACAATGAAGAGAAGTAAAACTGGGTGCAGTCTTCAAGAAATAATGGTACCTACCATATAAAGCATCACTAAGGGAGGGCATGATACCAGGGATCCCAAAATCATCGACCTAACTATTAAATACAAAAACAAATTACACAAATTAAGTAAATACAAAATCGTTTTCTACGTTAATATCCCAAGGTACTTGAAACATGCGTCAACTGGCAAAGGCGTACAGTGCGAAGATTTGTAGTCTTTCATATGTTTGTGCAGCTAAAATTAAAATTGTTCAGCAAGGGCGCGAGTATCTTAATATACACACAAGATACAAAGCCATTTTGTTTTTCTGTTCTGTGGGCATACTATCGCCGATTCGTAAAGGATCAGATTTTGAATGTTCTGAAATGTAGGACTCCAATAATGATCTGCAGAGATCCGAGTTTATGCCAACTCGTTGCACAATTTGGTCTAAAATTGACCGTTGATCCAAATATACATTACCTCAAAACTTACCTTGTGCTGTCAGTGTTGTTGACAATTATACTCCTTTGCCAAGCTAATTTGCGACTCCTCAAAAATCAACGGATATCGAAAACGCATCAATTTGATTAGTAAATGATTTCCACGGTTTGGAGACAAATCACCCTCCCTACAAAGTAGCGTTACTACGCAAAAGCAAACAGTCAATTACCTACTTTATGTTAATAACTTCATCTTCGGTTCGCCGAATAAGTAGTATAGGCCCGGAGTACTTTGATAATTGTTCGTAATTGTGCAAGTTGGCATATTCTCGAATTGCCAATTTGACAATTGATTCTAAATACGCAGGCAGGCAAGACATCGTCAAATGTCGCATCTAAGACCTACATTAACTAAGTCTCAAAATGTAAAAAAATTGTAAGCGAAAGCTACTTACGACGCCTTTAACGTCGGGATAGTTCATAACTGCCCAGCTTGCAGAGTAACCGCCAATACTCCATCCGAATAACATAATATTTTGTACTTTAAATCCCAGTTTATTAATGACAAATTTCATTACGATATCTATCGCGTTTTGTTCTTGATCAGGATATGGTGTACTCTGTAAAATTCGAAGTTCGTAAACTAACGCTAGTAGACCTCAATTAAACCTTTGAATAAACAGTGCGTTCTAGATAACATAAAATATACGTATGGATGATATATAAAAGAATGGAGAAATTCGTGATTCAATATTTAGATTTTATGTTTTTTAAATATTGAATCAAGAGTTGCTCCATTTTTTTGTATATCAACTATAAGCATATTTTATGTTGTCGTATGGCAAATTGTTTGCTCTTTTCAAATATCCTCCGAAAACATAGACATTGCATTTGAAAAACAAAAGTTCCATTGATTTCCTGTTACACCGGAAGGGACACAGAAAATTCCAATGATCGTAATGTTACATATAAAATTATATTTGACAAATTTTTTGTATTTCGCCAAATAAGAGATACTGAGGTGGCCCTCTTATCCAGAACGCACTGTATATTATATAAGGCGAGCTAAAAAATGAAAAATATGTGACCTTCAAAAACCCAAGACCATTAGGGAGCAAATAGCCTACAAACTAAGCGAACCTAAGGTTTGTTTCGGCGCTTTCTCATCAGTGGATAACCTCTACAATCTAGAATTGAGTACCAAGAGTTTTTATGTCGGCTAGGGTAATAATATGCGATAAAAGAGTGTAGTGCTAAATTAAGTGATCCATCATAAAAGTGAAATACTTAATTATTATCAAACAATAACCGTGCTGCCTGCAAATTCTGGATGATTCCACCCAAAGTACAGAATATCCGCCTACGAGGACGGTTCCCATTATACCAATCTCGTAAAAGCCCGCATTATCTTCACAACATATGACCAAAGTGGTACCATTGCCGGTAACAAACATTGTATCAGTTTCATTGCTTTCCATTTGTACCTACCTAATTTAGAACGAACGTGTAGAACCTAATTTTGTTACTTATGGAAGCAATTAAATGAAATTTCAAACATATACACTTTAAATAAAAGCAAAACTAACATCAGGTTTAAAATTTGGTTTTGCACATGCTATAGCCCTACCCCAGGAGCTCGTTTGCTATATTTGTTTAATTTATAATTGCTTATGAAATTTATTTTGTTTTGTAGTATATGACTGTGTCCAATAAGTGGATGTATTTCTGTGCGGCAAATATAGATAGATACCTACTATGCGATCAAGAAGAGGTTGCCGTCGAGTCACCTTTGGATTTTTTGGGGCATTTTTCGAAAGAAAGCCACTTCATTAGGTACTAAAGTCTTTAAAAATAATCGACGAGTTCGACAAATTGTCTATAATTATGAATATAACGGTAGGTACTATGTATCTACGTTTAAAACAGTAGCAAAATAATACAAATTTGCGGACTCACTGAACGAAATTATTGCATGAACCGCAACAACAAACTATGGTATAGATACGGTCACTCAACACCGATCAAAGTGCATTTTTCCCACACAATGCGCACATCAACAGTAAGAATTCGGGAAGGAATAGTGCGACACATCAAAACAATCTTATGCCGTTCTGGTCTTGGGGCTGTCCTACACCGTATAAGAAAGAAAGCAAAACGCATAAGCTTTAACTGGAGGACTAGTAGATATAGTAGTGGTACAGACGGACAACGGGCGGACAATAGCATTCATTGGTTTTTTTGGAAAATACGCTAAAAAGTGCGAAGTAATGAAATACCATTGGAGTTGCGAATGTATGGAAAAACAGAAAGCTAAATGTCTTTACTGTTTACGCGACGGTCGTAGGTATCTGTACTTCTCCGTTACGCGTTTTATTAATAAATTTTAAACAACGTTGCATTCCCTATACTTATGTGATGGTTTTGTCCGTCTGTTCCGATCTTCTACCTCGAGAATTACATGAAAAGAGATAGCGACGTTTAACCTTCGCCAATCGAGTTCTACAAATTCAAGGACCATTTGCTATTTAATATGAGCCGGATCAAAAGTCTGGTTTACGAATACGAGCTGAGTGAAAAAAACTTCCACAGGCGACTCGACGTCAATCCTTTTTTGATCCCCCGTTACTTTATTATATTATGAATAGGAAATAGCATAGGTGGTTGACACTGCCATATATATATGTCACTCGCTGTATTTACATTAGTAACACTATTATCTCATTGTGAATAGTTGATTTAATCCATAAAAAAACAAGAAAAGAAGAATCGCCTACGATTTTCAGTAGGAGAATTTTTGCCACTCGGCTCGCAATCGGAAACAGACTTTTAATACGCCTCACTGACACTTGAACTCATAGAAATTGATTGGCGAAAGTTTGATATCGTTATTTCTTTTCGTTCTCAAGTTAGACGAGGAACAGACGGACAAAACCATCACATTAACAATACAACAAAATTAACATTTTCAACAAGAGATTAACAGCAAGTAAGCAAAACAAAAAGGAAAATGGAAATTAATTATACAAACAAAACAAAAATAATGATTATAACTAAGTCAACAAGAATATATATTACTCAATAAACAAAACAATATAAGACGTAGGAGTGAAAAGAACATATACCTACGCTTGTGAAAACTGGACACCAAGGAAAAAAAACGAAAGTAGAGTAAATGCTACGGAAATGAAACATTTTAGAAAAATTACTGGAAGAACCAAATGGGACAGGGTAAGAAATGACAAGATCAGAGAAATAGCAGAACAAGAGCCAGTAAAGGAAAAAATAAAAAAGAAACAGCTAAAACTGGTTCGGACATATATAGTAAAGGATGGAACCAGGCCAATTACAAGAATAATGGAGATGGGAAAACCAAGGAAGAAGTAGAGAGAAAGTTCAAGAAGGAAATTGACGGACCAAATCCAAGAAACAAGGATGGAAAGAGGGTAGAGAAAATGAAAATCCTAGCAAGAGACAGGAAAGAATAATATGGAGGAATTGGATACACAACAAGAAACCCACACCCAACGCCTGAAAGGACATAAGGATATTAGAGAAGAGTTATAAAATAATGTACCTATTTAAGCAAATACGTATGATAAAATAACAATTCTTTTTCACTAAGTGTACCTATAATACAGTAGAAAAATACACAGTTAACCTTAAACCCTAACTTATTGCTACTCTGTAGGGTGTTGGGTGGTTGAAAAATAATCCTCTGTGGAAAATACTTCCCTTTCACTTACACCTTCAACAACTGGCTCCCTAACAGCTACATTCTTCTTCTAAAACACAAACAATTAAACAAATACTACACTTCCTGTCTTACTAACAAATAACGGTATTAGCAAATTCTTAAGTTTTGCAGTATTGTCTGTCAAACCATACTGTTCTTCTGCTAAATCAATTTTTCTTTCGAGCGATTCGATGTTTGATTTAATGTGCTCTGTAAGTTTTTCTAATCTATCGACATGTGCGCACAATTCCTTCAAATTGCCACCGAAACCAACTGCCGTAGTTAACGAGCCTGTTAGTCCCACCGCATTACATCTTTCTTGCTGTACCAAAGTGAGTAAAGTTTCAAATTCTTCTAATCGAGTCAGCATATCCTCTACTGATTGTAGTATCGGGTTTAACTGTAAAGTCTCTACTACTGGGTATGCAATTTATGGCTGGATATGCCTACCTTTTGGTCCAAGTTAATTTTGGCGTATTTGCTGTACTCTTCTGATGTATTTTTCAACATGTTCGTAAAAAAATATTATGTTTATCGTTTATGCAAATTACGTAGAGTTGTGGCTATTGTCACAAAGGAATGCCAGTGGCGGGTCACGCAAGAGGACTAGATTATTCACAAACCTGATTTTGATTAGTTACATTATTTCTTTTAAATTAGAATTATTTACGTTCTTGACCCCAAGATATGCATCTCGCTCCTCGTTTCGAGCCAACACAATCACGGAATTAGCTGTCGTAACTGATTTGATTACAGTTTTTGCCACCCCTCTGTGAATGCTTCATTCACTGGGAAAATGTTAGTTGCAAACAAGTCAGTACACACACACAAACTCGGTAATTTCCACATATTAAAAGAATGATCAAAATTTATATGAATGTTACTTAGATAAGACCAAGTAATCTACATCAATCAATTAAAATTTATACCAAACATGACATGCACATTATAGAATATCAATTAGGGAAAACACAAAAGCATAATAAAATACGAACAAAAGAACACACAAAACAAACAAGGGCTGGTTAATTGATTTTTCCATCAACATAACATCCTGCGTAACAGAACGCCACTGTTTTTTTGCCCTCATCAAAGGAGCACTACACAGTCTTAATCTTTGACCTTCTCGCAATACTGCTATGGATAAAGTATTCATTGTTTAAATACTTTTAAACATTATCATTTACGATTAACGCAGACCAGTAGTGAGGCAACAATGAATAACGACAATAACCTATTACTTTCTCTTACCAATGGAATACGCATTATAAAATTTAATCGACCTTCAAAAAGAAATGCCCTCAATTCGGAGCTGTATGTACAAATAACAAGAATTCTCACTGAAGATTCAAAGAATGACAATGTAGTCGGTACTATTTTCACTGGAATTGGCGACTACTACACTAGTGGTAATGACTTTAGAATGGAAATTACTTCAGTTGAAAGAGAGTGTGATAAAGTGCAAGCCTTTATTAGTGCCCTTATCGACTATCCAAAACTGTTAATTGCCATTGTTAACGGTCCCGCAATTGGAGTTGGCGTTACAACGCTTGCCTTTTTTGATATTGTCTATGCCAGTGATAGGGCAACCTTTCAAACACCATTTGTCAAAGTGGGGCTTTGTGCTGAAGGGTGTTCCAGTTATCTGTTTCCTCGTATAATGGGTAAAACCAGGGCATGCGAAATGTTACTTTTAGGAAAACGATTTTCTGCAAAGCAAGCTTGTGAAGCTGGATTGGTGTCGGAAGTCATTCCACATGGAGAGTTGGAGAATTTTTTGAAACAAATATTGCAGTATGGTTCTCTTCCACTGAAATCTTTGTTGAAATCCAAAAAATTAATCAACGACAATGTGAGACAGAAGTTACATGAAGTGAACAAGCGAGAAATGGCTATGGTGGGTGAATGTATAGGCAGCGAAGAGTTTCTTAATTTTGCTATTGGATTTTTGTCTAAAAAAAATAAATTGTAAATATTTAGGGTTACAACGACTTACTTAAATGATTTAATAAAAACAAAAATCAATGACAATTTTAATTCCATAACATCAACACAATGAAGAGAAGTAAAACTGGGTGCAGTCTTCAAGAAAGAATGGTACCTACCATATAAAGCATCACTAAGGGAGGGCATGATACCAGGGACCCCAAAATCATCGACCTAACTATTAAATACAAAAATAAATTACACAAATTAAGTAAATACAAAATCGTTTTCTACGTTAATATCCCAAGGTACTTGAAACATGTCAACTGGCAAAGGCGTACAGTGCGAAGATTTGTAGTCTTTCATATGTTTGCGCAGCTAAAATTAAAATTGTTCAGCAAGGGCGCGAGTATCTTAATATACTCACAAGATACAAAGCCATTTGGTTTTTCTGTTCTGTGGGCATACTATCGCCGATTCGTAAAGGATAAGATTTTGAATGTTCTGAAATGTAGGACTCCAATAATGATCTACAGAGATCCGAGTTTATGCCAACTCGCTGCACAATTTGATCTAAAATTGACCGTTGATCTAAATATACATTACCTCAAAACGTACCTTGTGCTGTCAGTGTTGTTGACAAATACTCCTTTGCCAAGCTTATTTGCGACTCCTCAAAAATCAACGGATATCGAAAACGCATCAATTTGATTAGTAAATGATTTCCACGGTTTGAAGACAAATCACCCTCCCTACAAAGTAGCGTTACTACGCAAAAGCAAACAGTCAATTACTTTATGTTAATAACTTCATCTTCGGTGCGCCGAATAAGTAGTATAGGTCCGGGGTACTTTGATAATTGTTCGTAATTGTGCAAGTTGGCATGTTCTCGAATTGCCAATTTGACAATTGATTCCAAATACGCAGGCATTTGATTAACGGCCAACGGCAAGACATCGTCAAACGTCGCATCTAAAACCTACATTAACCAAGTCTCAAAATGTAAAAAAATTGTAAGCGAAAGCTACTTACGACGCCTTTAACGTCGGGATAGTTCATAGCGGCCCAGCTTGCAGAGTAACCGCCAATGCTCCATCCGAATAATATAATATTTTGTACTTTAAATCCCAGTTTATTAATGGCAAATTGCATTACGATATCTATTGCGTTTTGTTCTTGATCAGGATATGGTGTACCCTGTAAAATTCGACGTTCGTAAACTAACGTTAGCGGACCTCAATTAAACCTTTGCGTATACAGTGCGTTCGAGATATAAAATATACATATGGTTGATATATAAAAAAATGGAGAAATTCGTGATTCAATATTTAGCAAACTTGCATGCTGTGTGCTGTCAGGATGCACGGTGGTTGTGTTTACACGGGTATATAGATCGGATCGCGTCAAAGTAAACCTTCAAACGGAACATTGAACAAGTTGATGTAGTGTGATATGGCACACGGCTTTTATGTTTATTAAATATTGAATCAACCCTATGCATATTTTATGTTGTCGTATGACAAATTGTTTGCTCTTTTCAACTATCCTCATTTGAAAAACAAAAGTCCCATTGATTTCCGGTTACACCGGAAGTGATACCGGAAATTCCAATATGCGATCGGATAGATCGTAATGTTACATATAAAATTATAACGGGCTATCAAAAATGCGATGCTATCGAGTCGCCTTTGGAAGTTCAAGTTAAGTACGATTTCCCATGGAAACAAAAATTCCTCGACTCGACTCGACAGCAACTCATTTTTGATCGCATAGTACTTGACAAATTTTTTGTATTTCTCCAAATAAGAGATACTGAGGTGACCCTTTTATCCAGAACGCACTGTATAATATATAGGGCGAGCTAAAAAATGAAAAATATGAGACCCTCGTTACATTATACTTCAAAAATCCAAGACCATTAGGGAGCAAATAGCCTACAAACTAAGCGAACCTAGGTTTGATTCGACGCTTTCTCATCAGTGAATAACCTCTAGAGTCTAGAATTCAGTACCTATAGTTTCTAGGCTAGGCCGAGGGCTAGGATAAATAATGTGCGACAAAAGAGTGTGGTGCTAAATTAAGTGATCCATAAAAGTGAAATAATTATTACTGTCAACCAATATACTAACCGTGCTGCCTGCAAATCCTGGATGATTCCACCCAAGTACAGAATATCCGCCTTCTAGGACGGTTCCCATTATACCAATCTCGTAAAAACCCGCATTACCTTCACAACATATGACCAAAGTGCTACCATTGCCGGTAACATTTCTATTGTCGACAAACATAGTATCAATTTCATTGTTTTCCATTGTACCTAATTTAGAACGAACCCCTTTATTAACTTGTATTAACCTTGCCCTTCCTTGAAGCAGAGTAGTTTCTGCAAACAGGCTTATAGTACATGAACATTAGGCAACTAGGAATTATACCTAAAATTACTTGCAAAACGGAAATAGTTCCGGGATAAATCAGTCTAATACCGAAAGTATGAACGGCTAAATACCCCAGTATTTGGCAGGGTATACGAACTATGGACTGGAGTGAACTACGATTTACAACAGGTGGTGAAATTTGAATACGAGTTTTTGTCACATCTCTAAAACAACGATAATAAGATTAATTTTGGATCAAGGTTGTCAATTTACCCATTCAAATGTTTCCAGCTGTACTCGACAGGCCACGCAAAGAATTCAAATTCGTACATCGAGAGGGCTTTCTTTATTTTTGGTGTCATATTCGTTTGTGCAGTTTGTAATGTTTCAATAAAGTCGTGATATGTCGGATTCAGAGCTCTATTTATGCCTCTAATACAAAATGACACCACTAGAATTACGCCTATACTTGTTGCAAATTTGCTTAACGTCACTATGCCATCAGCTTCGAAAAAACCTTTACGATAAAGTACTCCTATTATCAGTGGTGAAGTGTACACTCCTAACTTCCATATCATCTGTATCTAAAATGACTTCTGTAGCCATAACTCTAGGTAATCAGCATAGAACTTTACCGAACGAATTACAGTATCACTCCAGTGTTCCATTGTTGACGGCTCGTACAGTCTCTAAAACAATTACGTTATGTACACTTTGTGAGAACAGACACACTATCTTACTTCTGGTAGTCCATCTCCGTAAATTTTTATTAGTCTTGGAGTAAACATACAATCCCATATGGCTTTGAGTGTTGACATTGCGGATATGTTTCTTCTAAGATCCGTTTTTGTGATTTTACGTGAATGTTGCAAAATTCTGATTAATAACATGAACTACCTGGGAAATTATTACCTTTTTCGCCAGTTCTGCAATTAATAAAACACAATTTCTGTTCGCCTATCTAGGTCCTTGTCAATAAAAACATAACCTCTACCATTCCATTGATTTCGTTATAATCCAGTGGCGTAACCGATAAAATACCTAACAATCAGTTGGTATCTGAGAGAATTTTCTACTATGATTTATTTTTTACTCGTAGGAGTCGTAGGCATTGATTATAGTGTGTATAATCAATGTCGTAGGTTTTATATTATATAGCATTGTATATTTATTATACAGGGTGGCAATTTGAAAGCTTACCACCCCCCATTAGTAAATAAACGAGATATTTTAAAAAATCAAAATCCGTTTCGGTAATTCGGAGGGGGAATCACAATGACATAGTTGGTGATGCACCCCCTCCAACCCCCTGCGCCCCAGCCACCTCAACTTTTAAATCTTAAATAGTGACCCCCCATATGTGATACGTCGTTGGAAAGCTCTGAAAAAATGCTTTCGAACCATACCAAATAGCATTACATTTAGGTTAGTAATTATCGTGCAAATCAAAAAATCAACTAGCATGATACATTTGAAATCTGTCGTATTTAAAACGCAACCGACGAACTAAGACAGAGAATAATTCAAAAATGTCGAAATATTGCAAAACCAACATTTGAAAAGGTTCGACAAGAGTTTGGGAATAGAGTATACTACTGTCTTACCAATAACGGAAACCATTTTGAACATTTATTGAAATAAAAGCCAACTTTAGAAAATGTGTCATATTAGTTTATTTTTTGATTTGCACGATAATTACTAACCTAAATGTAATGCTATTTGGTATGGTTCGAAAGCATTTTTTCAGAGCTTTCCAACGACGTATTACAGATGTGGGGTTACTATTTAAGATTTAAAGGTTGGGTTGGCTGGGGCACAGGGGGTTGGAGGGGGTGCGTCGCCAACTATGTCATTGTGATTCCCCCTCCGAATTACCGAAACGGATTTTGATATTTTTTAAAATATCTCGTTTATTTACTAAGTAAGACATGGGGGGTAGTAAGTTTTCAAATTACCACCCTGTATACAATGTATGTAGCAATCCATTAGTCCACTCAGCGGAAGACCAAAAACTGCCAAATCGGAGAAATAATTCGTGTAAAAGCGAGTTTTGGTACCTTGTTCTGGGCCCTCAACAGGCTTTTGCCCAATTACAGAGGGACCCGCATAATGCAGCTGTACATAAAATATCCTATGCGTTTTTTTGCGGGTGTCATAGTATAATATACAGGGTGCCCATTATGTATGGAATATAGTATATATCTCGGTAATTATCGAATATACGACATTTTTCTATATGAAAGTTGTTTAACAGCTGTTTATCTTCCATAATAAGGCAGCATTCCATTGTTTTTATTTCGGAAAACAAATGAATAATGAAAAACAATTAAATTTTTTTTTAATAGCAATGCACATTTCATTAGGCTCATTTGATAGCGGTTTTTGTTCTCTTCTCAATGGTGTATCACGTTAGCATCCGCGTAGAAGAACTGAATTTTTATTGCTTTTTGTGATACGTTAAGCCGCTGCCTTGCAGTTAATGGTGAACATTTTGAACATTCATTGCGATGAAAACCGTTTTACTGCTAATTTCGTTTTGTCTACAAAGTTTAATATGAAACGTAGGTATACGTTCATTTGTTTTATTTTGATGTAGGATATCTGGATTAATGTTATTGATCTAATTATAATAAATTTTTTTGAAAAAGAAAAGAGAATAAAATCTCTATCAAATTAGCCTAATGAAATGTTACACTGCCATTTAAAAAAATTGAAATTTCGTTTTTTTCGTTACTCATTTGTTTTCTGGAATAAAAACAACTGAAGGAAATGATTTTCATGTAGGAAAATATTGTATACTTACATTCGATATTTACCGAGATATATACTATTTATACACATAATGGGCATCCTGTAGATAGTAAGTTCCCTTTTGGTTCAAAACCCACCCCCTGATGTGACTTCGCACTGGTATTTCCAATTTTTCCCGAAAACTGATACTCTGTCGAGAAAAATGGATAGAACGTAGAGTATTCCTTATAAAATTCTACATTATTTATTTATGTCGTGCCTTAACCTCAGAAACTCGTTCACAAATATGGATCGAATCTAAACTAAAGTTATGCAAAATCGAGTAAAATAATAAACTCAGTAATAAATATCTCGAAATACTTTGACCACATAGTCCACATATGAATACTATATTCCAAATTGTTTTTTACAAACCGAGTTATAAAAACAGATATGACTTTTTTAGCGCATTTTTTAAATAATTTATTAAAGAAAATGTAGAAATGGATTTTATCTAAGGGCGATTAGGACGCCTGGAAGAAATGTATCCATTGAGGATGTTTTTTACATATTCCATAATTTTACACTTTTGCCGTTTACTAACGGTCCTAGAGATCATTTATAATTTTGTATTGCTGTCTGTCGTCTGTCTGTTGGTCTGTCCGTCTGTTCCTATGTATCTGTCCCTGTGAACGATAACTTTGTTTAGAAATGTCCGATCTCTGTTAGTTATGAACTGAATTGCATGAAATTCAATATGGGCATAGCTTTAGCCATATAATACGCAATGCCAAACGCAAGTTTCAAAATTTGATTTTGCGTATACGCAGTGGCAACTTTTTAATTTATGAAAGCATTTAAATAAAATTTGATACATAGCCACTTGGAACAAAGGAAAATCTAACATTAGTTTCAAACTTTAGGTTTACGCATGCGCAGTGCCAACTTTCTTAGGTATTTATGAAAGCATTGAATGAAATTCTTCTTATAAATTGTAATTGAAGTACCACGTCAAAAATGGATTGCACCTATGCAACGCTATCTGTCATATTTGTGGCCGGATTTTTACGATTTTAACAGAAGTTGCATCTTACAAATGGGAAATGAATGCAAGTGGAAATGCGCTTTTTGTAAATCGTTCACGATTACTTTTTTAACGTTTTTAACGCCTTTGGCCAAGTTGCTCAGGAAATGTTGCGGTGATTCAGAAATAGGTGCCGTTTCGTTAAAAACTACTTCAGCAGATATTCGTTTCAAAAGTCCTTGTGGTCGTTCAATGTTTTTGGTACTGATAACCGTCAAGTACTATGATTACTCGTTAACCGTACCGTGTTCTTAAATTAAATTAATGTAAGCGGTGTAAATGTCTTCAAATGTTCCTTGTTTCAAAAAACCGTTTTGCCAAGAAAAAAGAGAGAGGGCTATACTTTTTTATCTACTCGTCCGATTTTCAAAAATCTAGGCGATTTGGATTCTGCGGGCCAAAATCTATAAGAACCGCCGCAGTATTCCCATCTACCTATTCTTACACTATATTCCATATTGGGAAAAATCGTATAGGATAAAACGACGATTTTTTATAGGGAATAATTTGGGTTATGTCCATTTTTCTCGTCAGGGTAACAGTTTTTGAACAAAATTGAAAACATCAGTTCAAGGACACACTAGAGGGTGATTTTTGAAGCAAAAGGAGGTGAAGCACTCCCTCGAAAGTTGGGAACTCTTCTGATATATCTTTACTTGTCTGTAAGGAGTCCCTACCCACAATTTCATAACAAATTTTTTTCTTATATGGCATTTATTCAATTCAAGCGACAATATTCCCCTTCGGCAGTGTTCGTTGCAGGTGGTCATTACGTTAGCCCGAAAATTAAATTGCGAAGACGTCATAAAAAGATAATTTCATAGTAGGTAATTAAATAATGCTTATAGTAAGTACATACCACGATAATTAATAAAACAAATAGCATTGGTAGTGAAAGCAATTAGGAATGCCTTAGACTCGTTATTAATAGAAGGAATTCCATTACCCTCAAGTGACCAACATTTTTCAATTAGAATAACTCTAGCAGAATGAAGAAGCCTACAAAAATAATGAATGCTTTTAATTTTCTTGCAGTACTTACTCATGGATCATTAATAAATAATTAAACATATAAGACGTAGTTAAAATATTATAATTTCTTACTAACGAATACACATAATTATTTGTAATTATCTATAAACTAATCACACTTCTTATGGTTTTCATATAATGGGAATTTCTAATAAGAAATTGCAGTGTTTTTCTATAATTTATTGTGATTTAGAATATGTACTATTTATGCGGTTATGCATAGTTTCATTCAGAGTTTGCCCTGAACTTTGCACTTATTTTTTAACAGCGAGTTTGACTGATCTTCTTCGCTATCATTATATTTACAAATTTGGGCAATATTTTCAAATTCGATGCGTTCTTAATGGCTCGTGGTCGTGACGCACTTACTGTTTATGCATTGAATACTTTATGGAAGCTTTATCTTCAGGCTCAATTTCAATTACTTTAATGCCACTTGCACTTCCAAGTTAATTTTATATCAGACGAATTTAGTTCTATAATAAATGCAAAAAAATGGAATCAACCAACCGGTTATTCCTGTAAAATTGAATTCAAGGTAAGAAGGTGTAGTATGATCTTTGGAAGGTGGGAATTTGCAAGAGAAGGTTTCACTAATTAGTTTACATTAAAGCTTCCTTCTTTTATTTATCCAGTAAGTGGGTACAGTCGCATAACTAAAGTACTGCTCGCAGAACAGTCTTGGTGATTGGTTGATTTACGTTGGGTAAGTTTCTTTTAGTAAGAGCACTTTAATTTGAGTGAACGCAACAACGGTTTTGTCGTTGTAAACGTGATCTAGGTGAGCAATTCGGAACAGGTCACTTTTTCAACCTGCTGTACAAGTAGGTACCTATAGGTACTATGTACGAAACGTAAACAATTTTATAACTTTCACAAAAGTTCATGTGTAGGTACTACCAATACATAAAATGTCTAAATTGCTTAATGCTTAATTTATTGATTTTGATTTCTATGCAAATTTTTGGTCACGCATATCTTGTTCGAATTACTCTGTGCGTAGTCGGAGCAAGTTTTATACAAAATTGATATATTACCTTAATAACCATAACTCCATTGTTATAGAATAAATTATGGATCTACTGAAAAAAATTGTTTCTTGTGTTTTGTTTGATACTATGTAATTATTCGGATTGGGTTTTATTTTTAATTTCGATTACTTTCGCGAAATTTCATTATTGTTTATTTCTTGTCGAAAAACGTATTCGGAACTGATCTGCTTTCTTTCTCTACATCTACAACAATCGATTTGAAATAATGAATCAGCGACACTACGTTGAGCACTATTTTTTGTATAATTTGTTGTGCATGATTAACTCAATTATACCATAGTAAGTTTACAGCGTTTCACTTGCATTGCTCAACCATTTCTGACTGTGTCACGTTTTAGAATCTTGTTCGCATTACTTGTCTTAAATTGCGAATAAGATTTGTTCTTGCTTTGACCTTTGCGTCTCTCGGTAATTTAGAAAACACACATGAATTTTTATAAAGAGGTTGACGTTTTATTTGAGTAAAGCGTGGCAAAACTGTTGGACCTAAATAGTACCGAACTTTTAATTGGAAAAACATTCACAGATTTCGCAATCCATGCAACCATCGGAGACATCGGAAGTGATAATCGCATAATGCTATATGTAAAACACAAAATAGCCTTTATTCACTCGCAAGCTCGCACGTGTCGTAAACTTTCTGAATAATAAGCGTCGTAACATGTCTGTAATACTATCACGAGAAATGTGCGAGAATTTTAGATTCGAATTAACAAAACAATTAGGTACGCACTATTAAGTAAATACCTACCGTATCGACTTTCTTTAACCTTTTCTTTAACCTACCGATTGTGGCCGAGTAAGGTACAATCATCACATGATGCGACGCCGTCTCTTCTGTTTGAACGAAACTGGTAACTTCATATACCCATATAAAAAACATTTCCAATGCTAAAAACTTATGTACTTACAAATTATGACAATTTTTAATTGTTTGCCACTTATAGGTACTATAAGTACTATAAGGTACACTTTGCTTTTGTGAAGATTATTGCACATGAATTTATAAAAAGCACCTTATGTGTCGATGTTTTATACAAAATCCTGACCCGATGTACTGCCGAGTTTTTCAAAATAATATTAAAATATTCAAAATTGCATAGGTAATAATAACAATTGTAAGTTTTATTCTTAACTTTCCTATAAGATATACCAAGGTCAAGTTTTTAAACATTTTTTAATGTGTTCAGAGAGCGTCCCTGATGTAGGTTGCAGGAAAACCTAATTTAAATTAGTCGGAAGAATGCTCGAAACGGATCTAAGGAAATTTCCATATCTGCCACAGACGACAAATTCTTACCTCAGCCCAGGTTCGAACACCCGACCTTCGGCTATGTCACGATCCTCGAAGGAATGACAATGCCGTGGTTAACATTTTTCATAATAAGACATCCCCTTTATGTAGAAATTCAAAACCCAGCTAACAATTTCATGTTCCTTCTAACGGGTGATCAAAAATGAGTTGCTGTCGAGTCGCCTTTGGAAGTTCAAGTTAAATACGAATTCCCATATAAACAAAAATTCCAATGGTGACTCGAAAGCAACCCATATTTGATCGCATTGTATAAAAATCGTAAGAACGTCTCTAGAGAAAATTTTATACACCATTGTTTGTTCCAAGAACTTTTTTAAAACGTTCTTACAACACTATGCCCGTTTGCACCTACAAATTTAAGCGGAGCTTAGCTTAAGCGTCGCTTAAAATCCATGGCAACGATTATTGAGAAAATGGTTGCCATGGATTTTAAGCTACGATTAAGCTAAGCTCCGCTTAGATTTATCGGTGCAAACGGCCATTATACTATCAAAATGGGCACCATTTTATAGAACTTTTTAGTTTGTTAAACAGTTCTGTAATGTCTGCAAAATACACTTACGCAACTGTTAAATAAACATTCTCACAACTATTAAAGAATAACACAGTTACAAAATAATCTTATAAAAGTTCTGTAATAGTTGTAGAATACTGTCAAAGAATTTGGTTGTAGAACAAATATTGAACTCATACAATTATTCTTTAGCACCTCACATTGTTTTATTACACTTTTTTTTTGAGTTCTATTTAGAGGACTTTAAAATCGTTTAATTGTTGTTTTTAATAATAAAATGTTTCTGTATCGCATCACAGCGCTGCACACATTAACAATAAAAAGAACTATAAAAACGCCATAAAATAATCAACTTATCATTATAACTACATAATATTACGAATTAATTGCTTTGTAAGTAAAGTTTTAATTCGGAAGAAGCTCTATTGTTAAATATGTATCTAGTATATATATGGTAACTTTTGACGCGCCTTCAGTTCGCGTTATATTTCGTATGATGTTAAAAATTTAATAAAAATAAATAAATTCTAAATTGATGAAAAATTTTTAAGCAACAAACTGTAAAAAAAATAGTCAGAAACTAAATTCGAGTATAATTATCCATTTTATTGATGTTATTTTACCTATTTATAATGTAAATATTTTTTAATTTTAATTATTTTTCTTCGCCATATGGCTCGCGCTATGGAGACAGAAAGAAAGCTTTATTTTACCCTTTCAATATGGATTCAATATGGAATTGACAATATGTGACTTATTGGTTTTCTGAATTGTTGATATTTTCTTTGTCCATATGTGCGGATATATGTTTTTTTTAAGTGATCCTCAACTGGCCGAAAAATCTAATTGTTGAATTGAAAACAAAAACTGGCCCTCTAATATCTTCTGCGGCAACTCAAACAGGTATTAATATGGAAGTGGCATTGGCAACGCTGTATTACAATCGAAATTGTCTAAGTTAAGAACAAATTTTAAATTGTCCATCACAATCCCGGCGGTTTACTCCGATCGCCCTATAGTCCCTTCGTTATATTATAAATCATATAATTACATTTTGGTCAGTATTTAATAGAACCTAGGTACTCCCCAGTATTCCAAAGTCTTATTTATTGAACAACCCACAAGCACCCCGTTAGAGTTACAATTACGCGTTAAACAACACCCGTTAGGCGTTACAGTTCTATAGTGCTTTTATTTGAAACAAAAATGTTTGTATTAAAAGTTATTTACTCTATAATGATTTTATAACAACTGTGTTATTAGTTTCTATAACGGCCTAGGTTCGATATCGGCTTCATATTTTGTTGTCCGCAGCAGTATTGTAGCTTAGCAACCCTTTGCACAATAGTTCTACCACAGATATGTACGTATATTCATTGTGGTTCTACAAAGAAACTATGAGCGACGTTACGGAATAATTTTCTAAGTGCAGGAAAAAAGGAGAAATAATATTTCTATAAGTCACTATATTCATTGACTATAATACCCTATTAGTCAATCCGATTTTGCAACGGTTTAACAATAATTTGGTTCTATAAGGTCCGCTACTGTAAAATTGTGTTACTGTACACCCTACTACATTAGCACTTATCCTATAAATTCTCTATAAACTATGGTCTAAAAGCGTTCTTGCAATAAATTTAAAAAACAATTCAGTTTCTGAAGGCAAAATAGTGTCATGTGCCACATTAATGCCACATTAGGTAATCCATTAATTCAGTGTTCTAGATACAATTATAAAACAATAACAGAATGTAAAAGTAGTACCATTGAATTTATAACTTATAAATTCAATGGTAGTACTATTACTCCAAACTTACAGAACTACTTTACTAGCTGGTAGCTGGGCACTTTTGTGTTCAGCCATCACAACTGCATTATCATAGCATTGTTACTGACAAGTCCATACCGTCTCTTTGCAATTGCTTTAGAATAGTTCAAGCTAAGTTCAATATTTATATAAATTTGATGTACACTATGCATAATTTATCCAAAGTTTATATCAGAAATCAGAAACGCCGAAAAGTGTTACACGCAAATTTTATGTAAACTTTATGCACACTTTACGCAAATGTTTGCATCAATTTTGTATAAAATTTGCATAAATTTTGCAGCGTGTTGGTTCCGGTTGGTGCCAACCGAGGCTCCCTCGTCTTTTGCGCCCTCGGCGTTGACGCCCAGTGTTCGTGCCCTATCTGCCATACCTTAGTGAGTGCCATACGTTTTGGGTGGCGCACATTTAGGGGAATAACTTGTGCACTGTCTTTATCTTAATCTGACTTGGATCGTATTACTTATAAGCCAATAAACACATTTGGGTAACCTTCTGAGCACCTATTCTTCCCTTAATTTCATTTACCCATCTACCTATACTTCTACAATAGTGAAAATAATAGTTTACACTATCCCTCTATACTTCTGTAATTCGTTACAGGGAGCCACATTAAAAAAAGTGGTGAAATTATTAGTTCAGCAACCAAAAGAGTTACAAAGACTTGTACGAAATTGTTATCTGGGGGTTTTTGAACATTATTTTTGCCTTTACTTTTCAACCTACTATACATTTACAAATATCCATGCTCGAACCCGGATTCGACACAGGGACCCTTAATACCGCAGCCGAACTTCAACTGGACTGCATCTGAGATTAGTTTTCAAAAATGTAAACAACATTCCACGGGAATTCTTGATCGGACAACTAAAATTTGTTCCTTAACATAATCACGGTTGTACGCAACAAATTTCGTCGAATCCTCTTCGTTGTCCGACCAATTGCAATTGCAGTACAATTTTTTTTCCTGATTCGTAATTTTCATGCTCAGAAA